CAGAGCCTTGTTTTTAGATCTTAAAAAAAGCTAAGGATCATGAGACACTGAGGAAAGCTTACATCATGAAAGAGAGAAAGCATTAAAAAGAAAAAAAGACTTGAAGGCAACAGACAATTCAGGGACAGAAAAAAAATCCCCCCTCCCAATTATATTTATGAGTCTTAGAGAGATAAGAGAATAAATTGCATTCATAAAACAAGAACAGAATTTAATTTGTATCATGTGTAATCAACACAAAAGAACTCTGGGAAATTAGAAATCTAAGAGTAGAAATAAAATAATCTGCGGAAGGGATTAAGTCCAGAAAGTCATTAAATGGAACAAAAGAAAAATTAATGGGAAATAAGGGAGCAGCTATATGAAAATTACAAGGCCATATGTCTGACCATATTGAGATAGATTTTAGAGAGTACTGAAAGAGCTTGATAAAAATCAGTGATGGGTACATAGAAAACAAGGCAAACACAAAGACAAAGCAATTGAGCATTACCTGAATAATGATTACACTATAAATACTGAAAATTTATTTCACGAAACAGTGACGGGGTGCACATAAGAAAGAATAGTGTGACCAAAGGATGCTGCAAGCATTATGTTGAAAATAAAGAAGAGGTTATCTTTAATTTTAGAATTTGCAACTTTAGTGATTTATGTATATAAACATGATGTTGGGTCTCCTACGTTCCATGTTGTAATATTAGTGATGATCGATTTCTTGAGGAAGTCATACATTCCTTTTATGCAGCGACCTAAAATACATCATAAACTGAATTTAGGAACCAATCTTTGAAAAAGAGTACTTTTTTTTTCCTTTTGAAAAAGCCCTCTAATACACAACAGAATCAAAACATTGCCTTTCTCGGTGCCACGCACTGTGTTACAAAAATAGAGATACTATTAGCTTTTGCTATGCTAATAGTTTACTCACTGTAAAGAATGGCTATGAATTTTTGTATTATGAACCAGATGTAGCCTATGGTCTTTAGGCTTTTTATGAGCTTCCCACCTAAGCAAACAAATACCCTTGTATTGCTTTTCCTATGGTTCTGATGGGCTGTGCTTGATTATTTTAGCGTTGACCTTCAAAATTTGGAACTTTGTTTCTTCATTGGTTTTGATTGTTGAAATGTCGCCTGATAACTTGACTGAGCATTTATTTTTTCGGTGCTTATTTTATTTTTGAGAGAGAGAGAGCATGTGCGAGCTGGGGAGGGGCAGAGAGAGGAGACAGAGGACCTGAAGAGGACTCTGCACTGACCGCAGAGAGACCAGTGCGGGGCTCACTCACAAACTGTGAGAGTGTGACCTGAGCCAGAGTCAGATGCTTAACCTATTGAGCCATCCAGGCACCCCTGACTGTGCATCTATATATTGCAGGCATTGATCTCTATATTGTCATTACCAAGGCTTTTTGGGGTAGCCCTCCAGTGTAATTCAGTTTCAGAAAATTGTGGGTTCTGATTTTTTATTAAACATTTCAAAATCAAATAATTTAATCAAATGTAAGAAATGATGAATTAATAGAATTGATATCTCTTCCATGAAGTCCAACCAAATCCCATCTGTAAAATAAATTAGCAACTGATCATCTCAGAAATTACAAATTCAGTTGCATGGTTTTCTATTTTAATGAAGGAGTTGAAATAACTTTCAATTATAAATCGATTTCCCTCTTTCAGAATTGTCTTAGCTGTTTAAACATTCTTGACTGGCTTTCTCCTAAGATACAGTGCTCTTCTGAGCCACTTTTGTCCCTTTAAGTGTATTTGCTCAGAAAATACAAAGCCTGAAAAGCCATCGTTTCTTCCCAAGTGGGTAGATCATTCTGGTGTCCTATCCTCTGACCAGCAAACCGTATATGGTAGCCCTAAACTAATACCTAAATTAGACAAGTAAAGAAGGCATGAAATCAACTGAAAAAATATCTTAAAAGTTGGTATTCTTGAAAACTTTTTGGAAAGAGAAATCAGGAAAGAGCCACAATTAGATTTGTATTTTAGGTGATCCCTCGTAGTGACGTGGAGATAAATAATAATAATACAATAACAACAGCAGTTAACATTCGGAGTGCTTGCTATATGCCCCTCTGCCTTCAGTTCTTATTTATCACATGAAGAAATTTCAACAATATATCCATTTTACAGGTGAAATCCAAGGCACAGATAGGTTAAATGAAGTGGCCAAAGTCAGCAAACCGATGATAGTTGGTAGAGCCTGGAACCTGAGCCATCAGGAGCCATCAGGAGGCATCAGTGCACATGAGAAAGGAGGAGGGCTTGAACTATGCCCTGCTAACCAGGGTCAAGTTCATAAAGAAACGTCTTCTGGTGTTGTAGTCATCATGGGGCATGCTTGAGACTTGTGGTTTTTGGTTTGTTTTGTTTTGTTTTTAACATGTCTTGACATTATTTCATTGGTGCCAAACTGGGCGTCCCTCCCAGTTAAAAAAAAAAAAAACCTCAATCATAGCCTTCTCTGAGTGAAATCCTACATGAATGTGGTTTGGCTTCTTATCCAAAGAAGCACTTACAAATCACTCACTTGATCAAGGCATTAGTACAAATCTGTTAATGGAATTGAGTTTACAAGGCACATTCCACAGACAAAGCTTTGTGCGGATGACACAATCACATAGATGAACTGACAGCTAAAGGTTCAACTGCAGTATTGCTCCCAAAGGTACCCTCTACGGGTGTGAAGATATAGTTGTGTTCGTGTTGGTTTTGCTATGACTCCATGCCAATAATAGAGAAATTTGTGACCATTCAGCATTGCTGGCTTTTGCATTGCCATTACATTTAATACTTGGATCCAAAGTGCTTGAACAGTGGTATCTTCACTACTGTCGATTGCCATCCTGATAAAGCCAAAAGATTTCAAGAATAAAGGTTTTATTTATGAGCTGCAAAGTCAACAGAACTTTCTAGAGTGGTACAAAAGTTACCAAAGAACAGAGAACTGAGTCATTGATAGACTGAAAAATGGCATTTTCATCTAGAGATTTTTCATTGATCCTTTGTGAGGCAGAGGTTTATGAACACCAGATGCCAATCACATAACACCAGTGGATTTGCGAGATTATAAAATGGGGGGTGGGGAGGAGTAAAGGTTAAGCACAGGGTACAATAGAGATTACTTACGGTAATGAATTGCATAATTTTTCTAGACATAGTTGGATCAATGTTCATCCTAAAAAGAGATTATGATAGTTGTGATTCTTGCAGTAAACGAATATTAAACACATCATTTCTGTTCAACATGGGAATCGAGGTCATAAAGAATCTATGGTTCATCATATATGAGGAGAAAAAAATGTAATTCACTCCCTAAATGTAAGCATGAGATACACTGGGGTTCTGTGCGCGAATGGAGACAGTGTGCTCTGTGCCGTGGTTTCTTTGTCCGGGTGCAGCTTTGAAGACAGTCAGGGGAACCCCAGTTGTCATAGTCTGCTAGCTGCAATTCCATTTTTTTAAGTTTATTTATTTAAATAAATAGGGAGACAGAGCGTGAACAGGGGAAGGGCAGAGAGAGGGAGACACAGAATCTGAAGCAGCTCCAGGCTCTGAGCTGTCAGCACAGAGCCGGACATGGGGCTCAAACCCACGAACCAACCGACTGAGCCACTCAGGCGCCCCTAGCGTGTGTTTTTAAACTTCAAAAACAGAAGTGTATTGTGTACTGCTATACACCCTGAGAGGGGCACATTGCTTCTGTGAGATTGTTTCCCAAAATGTTACAACTTCAATCGGATCATGAGAAGACAGGAGACAACCCAAAGTGAGGGGCATTCTACAAGTGAACAAGTACTCTTCAAAAGCAGTATGTTTGTATCATGCAAACTTGAAGAGTCCAGCTCCCAAACCCCATAATCTCACCACCAAGCATAATGACCATGAACATCTTAAAGCATCCCAGACCTTTCTCTTTGAATTATATCCCTTACCAAATTTTTAAGGAAAATGCTGTTGTGCCTATGGTTACTTAACTGCTTTATTAACTTACAGATAATATATATTGTGAACAAATTTCTCTAAAAGGTCAATATTCATGGACTCTTGAGTGTCATGCACTGGCCTATGGTGTCTCTGTCTGTGGATAAAGACTCAAGGGAAGGTAATCTTCACAGCCTTCACATCATGTCATCGTTTCTACCTGCCCCTCTTTGCACTGTGAAGCCAGTGGATACCATCAACTCAGTCCGCCAGGGTCTCAGTACTCAGGGAGTGACTCCATATTAAGGGTTCAGTTCCTCATCTTCCTGAGCCTCATTCATCCATGGAATTTTCCTGGTTTGTTCTAATGCACCTCTCCCTGAGATGGAGGATGGGAAGTATCTTGACAGGTTTTCACACTCTATGGACAGGTAGAAGTGAATATGGTATATTCTACTCACTACTGCTTTCTCTGATCCTTAAAACGTTGTCCATCAAAATGCAGGGATATGATGACCAGAATATATAAGATGACTCTTGGGCTCCACACATCCACCATGAAGCCGTCTTACTTTTGGTCCTGAAAGTGTTCCAAGGCATTATAAGGAAGCTGCCACACAAGGCATCCAACATATTGCCAAAGGGGAATTCATTGCTGAAGCCAAAGTCTGCAACCGGATGTTTACGTCAGTTTCCAATAGTTGGTTTTCTGCCTTTAGGTCTATGGACAATACCCTTTTGGAAGCAATACTGTACAGCAGACACCCTCTAGCAGAATTTTCCCGGGGCCTCTTTCTCTTTCATACTGCCACGATCCACTAGGTAATCGAACAATTCTTCCTCATTAGCATCTCCATGATAAGGTAGACTCTTCCTGTCTCCATCATTTCACGTAAGTTCGTAATGTTGGCGTGATCCAAGGCCCTCACTATTTTTACTTTCTAGGATACTTAACAAGACTGACTCCTGTTAAGGATCTTCATGACCATCTCTTTTCCAATCAGAATGTGTCAGGTCAACTTCACCTTGGCAAAGATATTCTTGCCAATGGCAGTTGCCATCATGGGTCTTTCCCTCAGCAGAGATGGCCTCGAGACTCAGCAGCATGTTACCCTTACTGGAGGCAGCATCTCCCCATGCCAGCTTAAAACTGTCAGGAGGTATGGAGAAACTTGACCCAAATTACTTCAAAAGAAAATCACTTTCAAAGCATACCTAAAAAACCGATCTTTATGATGGAATCAACATAGTGCCAGACAAAAATAAAGGTAAACAAAAACATTTTAACAAACTGAATTTTTAAAATGCAAAAAAAAGAATAAAAAATAAGAAAAAGATGTAAAAGAATTTTTATTAATAGATTTTTCACTTTTTCTTTAAAGTGAAAATAATTAATAGATAAAATAGAGAAAAACCCTACAATGCCGAGGAAGAAACTAAGTTTAGTCAGAGTCCCCTCAGGTCATTGAAAACCAACTTCCTGAGGTAGAAGCTACGAAATCCCCAGCCCAGCCCAGGTCTCAAATAGGTGCCTGGGATTCCTCAACAATGGCTCCTTATGAGGACATAGCAAGAAACTGGCTTATCATGGCTGGGAATAATGCCCAGAAGTTTTCTCACTTTTCGGATTCTAGAACCCTTTACTCTCTTTTAAAGTTTTTTTTTTTTTTTTTCAATTCCAGTTAGTTAACATAGAGTCTCAGGTATAAAATATAGTGATTCAACACTTCCATACATCACCCAGTGCTCATCACAAGTACGCTCTTTAATCCACATCCCCTATTTAACCCATCCCTCCTTCCCCTTTTCCTCTGATAACCATCAGTTTCCTCTTAAAAAATACCACATTTTGTATCAATTTACACACTGCCTGATACTAATACTTTAGATTTGTCCATCTTTTTAAAAAAATCCTTAATTTTAAAAAATGTAAACTTACATATCAATTTCTTGCTTAAAATTTAATACATATATGGAGATACCTATATAGATAAATATGCTCCTTTTTATAGAGCAATTTGAGGTTTACAGAAGAATTGAGAGGAAACTGCAGAGTTCCCATATAACCTCCCCACCTTCCTATCCCCATAATTTCTACAAATATTAACATCTTGCATTAGTATAGTATATTTGTTACAATTGACCCAACATTAATGCGTTAATATTAACTAAAGTCCTAGTTTACATCAGGGATCATTTTTGTGTTGTACATTATGTGGGTTTCGACAAATGTATGATGAAATACATGCATCATTACAGTAACATACAGAATAGTTTCACTGTCCTAAAAATCCTATGTGCTGCTCCTGTTCGTCCCTCTCTCCCTCAATCCCTTGGCAACTACTGATCTTTTAATAATTCTAGTTTTGGCTTTTCCAGAATGTCATATAGTTGTGATTATACAGCATGTAGCCTTTTCAGATTGGCTTCTTTCACTTAGCAATATGTGACTAAGTTTCTTCCATTTCTTTCTGTGGCATGATAGCTTATGTCTTTTTATCACTGAATAATATTCTACCAACCAGATTTACCACAGTTTCTTTATCTGTTCACCAACTGAAGGATATCTTGATTGTTCCCAAGTTTTGGCAATTGTGACTAAAGTTGCTTGAACATTTGTGCGCAGGTTTTGTGTGGACACAAGTTTTCAACTCATTTGGGTAAATACCAAGGATCACAGTTGTTGGGTCATGTGGTAAGAGTATGTTTAGTTTTATAAGAAACTGCCAAACTGTCTTCCAGAGTAGCTGTACCACTTTGTATTCCCACTGGCAATGAGAATTTCTGTTGTTCCACATTTTTGTCAGCATTTGGGGCAGTCAGTGTTTTGAGTTTGGCTATTCTAATAGGTGTATAATGGTAGCTCCTTGTTGTTTTAATTTGAAATTTCCTGATAATATGTGATGTGGGACATCTTTTTATGTTTATTTGCCATTGTCTTCCACAGTTAGGTGTCTGTTCAGATCTTTTACCCATTTTTAATTGCTTTTTTCTTACTGTTGAGTTTTAAGAGTTCTTTGTATATGTTGGTTATTAGTCCTTTATCAGGTATGTGTTTTGCAAAGATTTCTCTTCCAGTTTGAAATATGGGTTTTCATTCTCTTACCAGTGTATTTTGCAGGAGTTTTTAAAGAAGTTACTTTTTTTCTTTCATAGATCATACTTTTGATATTGTATCTAAAAAGTCATCACCAGCCCCGAGGTCATCTAGATTTTTCTTCTGTTATCTGCTAGGAGTTCTATAGTTTTGCATTTTACAGTTAGGTCTCTGATCTACTTAGAGTTAATTTTTGTGAAAGGTATAAGAATTGTGTCTAGATTTCTGTTTTCGTCAGGAGGATGTCATTATTCTACCACCATTTGTTGAAAAGGCTATCCGTTCTCCATTGAATGACTTTGCTCCTTTGTCAAAGATCGGTTGACTATTTGTGTTGGTGTAATTTTGGGCTTTCTCTTCTGTTCCACTGACCTATTTGTCTGTTTGTTTACCAGTAACACACTCTCTTGATTACTGTTGCTTTACAGTAAGTATTGAAGTTGAGAAGTATCATTGCTCCCACTTTGTTCTTGTCCTTCGATATTATGTTGGCTATTCTGGGTCTTTTCCCTTCCCATATAAACTCTAGAATCAGTTTTGTCAATGTCCACAAAGTAACTTTCTGGGTTCTGGTCAGGATTGCCTTGAATCTGTATATAAAGTTGAGAAGAACTAACATCTTGACAATAGGGTGTGTCTGTTGATTCTATTGATGTGCATGGGATATCCTTCCATTTATTTAACTTTTATTTGATTTATTTCCTCAGAGTTTTGTAGTTCTTCTTATGTAGATTTTGTACATATTTTGTTAGATTTATACCAAAGTATTTCATTTTTATGGGTGCCAATGTAAATGGCCTTTTTATTTCAAATTCCACTTATACACTGCTGGTAAATAGGAAAGCAATTTATTTTTGTTTATTAATCATGTGTTCTGCTACCTGGCTGTAATTGCTTATTAGTTCCAGGAGGGATTTTTTGGTTGATTCTTTGAGATTTTCTGCATAGACAGTCATGTTATCTGCAACAAGAACAGCTTTAATTCTTCTCCATCTGTATACCTTGTATTTTCTGTTCTTGTCTTACTGCATTAGCTAGGACTCCCACGATAATGTCAGACAGGAGTGGTGAAAGGGGGATCTTTGTCCGGTGTTAGATCTTGGCAGGAAAGTATCTAGTTTCTCACTATTAAGTATGATGTTAGTTGTAAGGTTTTTTTGTAGCTCTTGTTGATCAAGGTGAATTTTCCTTTCATCCTGGTTTTCTGAGAATTTTTTCATGAATAGGTGTTAATTTTGTCAAATGATGTTTCTGTATCTATGGATATGATCAGATGATTTTCTTTCTGTATCCCTTTGAGGTAATGGATTACATTAATTACATTAATTGATTTTTGAATGTTGAAGCAGCCGTAAATACCTAGAATCAATTTCACTTGCTCCTAATGTATAATCCTTTCTATACGCTGTTGAGTTCAATTTATTATTATTTTGTTGAGGATTTTAAAACCTATGTTATGTTTATTGATCTACAGTGTTCCTTTTAGTGATGTTTTTGTCTGGTTTTGTATTAGGGTAATGCTGGCCTCATAGGATGAGTTAGGAAGTGTTTTCTCTGCTTCTATTTTCTAGAAGAGATTGGAGAGAACTGGTAACATTTCTTCCTTATATGTCTGACAAAATTCACCAGTGAGCTTTAGACCTGGTGCCTTCTGCTTTGGAAGATTATAAATTATTGATTCAAGGGTGCCTGGGTGGCTCTGTCGGTTAAGCCTCTGAGTCTTGGGTTCAGCTCAGGTCATGATCCCACAGCTTTGTGGGTTCAAGCCCCGCATGGGGCTCTGTGCTGGCAGTGCAGAGCTTGCTTGGGATTCTTTCTCTCTCCTCCTCTCTCTCTGCCTCTACCCTACTTGCGCTGTCTCTGTCTCTCTCAAAATAAATAAACTTCAAAAAATTACTGATTCAATTTATTTGATAGATGCGTACTAATTCAGATTATCTATTTCTCCTTGTGTGAGCACTGTAGAGACCCTCACAAGTCTGGGCCCTTAGGATTTTATATCATAAGTTAGTCCTTGCTCAGTCTCCAGCAATTAGTCCACTCACTTTACAGAGTCTCTGTTACAGACTCCAGCGAGCTAGGCTTTTCTGCATTCCACCTGTCTCTCTAGCTTTCAGGGCAATGGTTTGCCTGGTGGCATCAGTTCCTTAATGAATCTAAGAGGAGTTGTTGATACTAAATTTGTTCAGCTTTTGTCTCGTAGTGAAGATGGGAGTGATGTCTTCCTAGCTCCTTAAATAGATAGCAGGAGAGTTGACGAATAAAACAGTTCACACAGATAATAAAAGAACTAAACCATTTATGTGCCGCTGCTTACAATGTATGGATAGCCTGGAAAACTAATCTTGTTTGTATACCAACTGCTTTCAAGAATGAATGGTAAACCTTTAAGGTTGATATTATCATTCTCAAGTTAAAAAGCAACTGGGTGTCTATGTAGCTAGTGTAGTAGATTTAAAATTTCCCAGTATTAAGGGTGTCTGGGTGGCTCAATCAGTTAAGTGACTGACTTTTTTTTTTTTGCTAATTTTTAAAATATAATTTATTGTCAAATTGGCTAACATAGAGTGTGTACAGTGTGCTCTTGGTTTTAGGGGTAGATTCCCATCGCTTACATACAACACCCAGTGCTCATCCCAGCAAGTACTCTTGATTTCAGCTCAGGTCATGATCTCATGGTTCGTGAGACCAAGCCCCGTGTTAGGCTCTGCACTGACGGTATGGAGCCTGCTTGGAACTTCCTCCCTTCCTCTCCCTCTGAGCCCACCCCCGCTTCCCCTATTTGCGCACATCCATGCACAAGCACTCTGTAAAAACATAATAATAATAATAATAATTAAGAACTTGGGTTTAATCATTGAGAACCTTTTTAGGCTCTAATTTGTAAAATTTACGAGATGTGTCCTTGTAGTGTCTTAAATAGTAAAGAGAACGTTTGAGGAAGTATATACCATCAGAGTGGAATTAAGTGGGGTGTGGACCACAATTTTTGTTTTTTGTTTTTTGCATTTTTAAAATTTATTTATTCTTTATTTTTTTAGTTACCCACTTTTGCTTCAGAATCTGTTCTTTTTAGGCTTTGGGACCTGATAATTCCCAAGAAACATTAGGTATCTATTCCCTTATTCAGCAGTGGGCAGTGGATATTTCATTTGCGAAGTCACAGAGCATGAGAGAGACAAATAGCAGTATTTACACTGTGCCATATGTCAGCAGGCCTTTCTAGATCATGATGGTGATGTCTTTCGTCTCTAAATAATTTTTACAAATGTACTGATGAAGACGGGTTTCTGTTGTCTGTCTTTGATGGGTCATAAGATGAACCAGCACTATGTTTTTTGCTGAAAATATGCATAGTTGTGACATGGTGTTTCATACATTTGAGCTTATTCCTGCCAAAATGAACATGGCTGTAAGAAATGATGACTCCCTCATCTTTGTAGCAATACAGTGGCTTCCTAATGGGTGTCCCTAACTCTGAACATTAGCTTAATATTCCCCTGGATTTCTGAGCTTTATCCTTTCCCCCCGCAGACATCCGGTGAAGAATGCAGCTTTTGACCAAATGACAGTGCGTAGAGGATGAAATTAGTGACGTTAAATTACGATATGACAAAAAGCCTTTCAAAATCTTTGTCACAATGCAGCATTCAAGCAACATTAAACAAAGCAGAGTGAAAATAGACCAAGGAAGAGAGTTAACATTTTGAAAGGAAATCTTGTGAACTGTGATCACTTACAAATTTTGAAAGCCATTGATTTATAGCCTGTATGGGACGGCAGTTTCTAATTTGGAGATCCTACCCTACAATCATATACGTTGTCTCCTCTTGTTTAATCTCTGGGTATAGAATTAACTGTTAAAATGTTTTTTTTTTTTTTTGGTACACTTCTAAATTTCTCAGAAAAGCAAGTCTCCATTTCTTAAAGTTAGCATTTAAGAAAGTAACAGGGAGGGGCGCCTGGGTGGCTTAGTCGGTTGAGCGTCCGTCTTTCGCTTAGGTCATGATCTCGCGGTTCGTGGGTTCGAGCCCCGCGTCGGGCTCTGTGCTGACTGCCAGCTCAGAGCCTGGAGCCTGTTTCAGAGTCTGGCACTCCCTCTCTCTCTGACCCTCCCCTGCTCACGCTGTCTCTCTCTCTCCTAGAAATAAATAAAACATTAAAAAAAATTAAAAAAAAAAAAAAGAAAGTAACAGGGAAAAGGATGAAGCATAAGATACACCCTTTTTAGGCAATGTTTCTTATCTTCCTATGAATAAGTATATGTATCTAAGTAACACCATATATTTTATAAATTAGTATAAAAATCAGCTTTATTCTAAAAACATAAAGCAGAGTTTTGATACCTTTTTCCTTTATTTCTACCATACTTTGGGCTTATTTTGTGTTAGTTTATTTTTTTCCCCCGAAAGATCTGATGTTTATGTCTTAAGTTCAATTCTGCCATGTTGGGTTGTGGGAAAATAAAAGCTTTTGATAGGGTTAATCTAGCTACATGAAAGTGCATGTTGAATATGATCATAATCTTGATCTTTGACTAGGCCTGAGCTAGTAATATCTTGTGATTAATCAAAATGGCTTGTTCTGCCTTTAGTACAAGCCATCTTCACAGATGGGATAGAGAATTATCAGAGTTCTCTTGAATATTTGTTTTAATCCCTTCTAGGATAAAATGGCTTTGGGTTTGTTTGTTTTTTTTTTGCTTTAAATCAGATTGAGTTCACAGAATAAATGAAGAAGAAATTTTGAAGTCCAGTTTTGCTAGGATTATAGGTCAAAAAAGAAGAAACTTGTTTTTTAATTCACAGTATTTCAGCATTCCACTGAATGTGTCTCATATGTTGTCTCGTAAAATTTAACAAACCTCTTCATTTTGTAGTTTGAAGAAAAACGTTATGAAAGAACGTAGTAAGATATACTTCATGGAAACAATGTTGAAGCTTTTACTGTTCTCCTCAGCATAAAATATTTTTCAAGATTATTAATTGCTCCTCTGCTAATGATATAATCCCAGCCTAAGTGACATCTGATAACAAAGACCTTTACTTTGACAAGTGAACTGCCTGACATCTAACACTCGGCACAGAGCTCTCGGACGTAAAATGTTTACTGTGTGTAGCTGTCATCTTAGCCAGCCATTTTGGGTCTTACAAGATACAATTTCTTCACAAGGTTGCTCACCAAAACCTAGAAATTGAACTGCCTCCCCCCCAAACCCACACATACTAGTGGGGCTCTGTAAGTCCATGTCTATGATTATATAACAATCATCGAGTAAAAGAATTGGAAATAGCTGTGCAATTCATCCATTCACTTCTAGAGTGGATTCATGACCCACGTGTATTGAAACAAGGACTTACGTTTTTCTTGTGTTTGTGTGTTTTTCTTATAGGAGACCCGGTGAGCCTCCATTGATAAAAGGCTGGCTTCCTTACTTTGGAGAGGCCTTGAACTTCCAAAAGGATCCTTTAGGTTTCATGAAAACGCTTCAAAAGCAACATGGTGACACCTTCACTGTTCTCCTTGGGGGTAAGCAGCACTTCTATGAGTACCTCCCATAAGTCATAAGTTCTCGAGGTGTCTGGCTGGCCTAGTTGGTAGAGTATGCAACTCTTGATCTCAGGGCCATGAATTCAAGCCTTGCCTTGGGTGTGGAACCTACTTAAAATTAAAAAAAAATACTTAAAAAATAATAAATTCTCAGTTGAATTTTTCTCAGTTGTTCTTAAGTTGTATTTTTCTCTAGGCAAAATATGGAATATTTATATATTGTTGTTTCATTTGTAGACGAATACGAAAGCAAACTATTTCTTCGAGTACAGTAACTTTCACATTAAAAAAGCCAAGTGTAAGAGTCTTAAGGGTACCTAGGGAACCCTACTCTCCCACCTACCATTTTGGCTTAGTATGGCTTGGTTTTAAGAATGGTTCAAAGAAAAATATAATGCTAGAATGCAATAACAGACTTCATTTTGTAGAGCAGTTTTAGGTTTGAGAGAGATTTCCCGTATATCCTGTTTCCCTTGATCATACTTTTCCTTATTATTTCCTACTATATTATATCCCATAATTTGTTACAGCTGATGAGCCAGTGTTGATACCTTATTAAAAGTCTGTGGTTTACCTTTGGGTCCGCTCTTTGTGTTGTATAGTTCTTTGAGTTCTGATAAATGTATGCCATGGATCCACCATCCCCTGTATATTATTCACTATCATAGAGGATAGTTTAAGTGCCCCCCAAATCCTCTGTGTTCCACATACTCATTCTGCTTTCCTCCCAACCTGATCCCCTAGCAACCACTGATCTAGAATGTATTTTTTACAATGTATTTTTAATCTTAAAATGTTTGTTATGCTTCTGACTTGAATAAAATGCTTACAAAAGAAAAAAGAAAACTACAGCAAGATTACTAAACATCCCAACATTGTAGGGCTGAGAGGAAAAGTTGGAATGTTCTTCTCTCATCCTCCTTGAGGGCCCCTGTTGTCCAGCTGTATGAGCTCTTCACTTCCGTGTAACAAACCTCCCCCAGATGTAATGCCTTAAGGCAGCCAGTCTTGCCTGAATCACTCCTGTGGCTTGAGTCATCTGGGTGCTTAGCTGGGAACTGGGTGTTCCAAGATGGCCTCATCACATGCCTGGCTGGGCCTCCTTCTCCACACGCTGTTTCATTCTCAAGAAGTTGTCCTTACATGGCACGTAGTGTTTCAGGTAGGTGAGAGGAAAAGCTGCAAAGCCTCCTGAGAACTAGGCTGAGATATTACAAAACCTCACGTCCACGACATTCTACTAGAGCCATCATAGGCCAGTCCCAGCTCAAGGGCAGGGAAATACACTTCACCACCTCCCGGGAAGAATGGCGGAGTCCCGTTGCAAAGGAGCAACGTAGAGGGTTAGGAAGAGTCTCCTGTAGCCATCTTGGCACACGGTCTCTTACATCAACTTGTCGCTGGACTAGCCATCTCTTTTCTTCACCTTTTTTTTTTTTTAATTTTTTTTTATGTTTTATTTATTTCTAGGAGAGAGAGAGACAGCGGGAGCAGGGGAGGGTCAGAGAGAGAGAGGGAGTCACAGACGGAAACAGGCTCCAGGCTCTGAGTTGTCAGCACAGAGCCCGACGCGGGGCTCGAACCCACGAACCGCGAGATCATGACCCGAGCGAGAGTCGGACGCTTAACCGACTAAGCCACCCAGGCGCCCCTCTTTTCTTCACCTTTTCTGTCCTGTGTCCCAGAAATCTTATTTCTACGGAGTCGATTATCTACACTTCTTTTCTCTGACTTCTGGTGGAGCGTGCTGGGGGGAGGGCAGGCAAAGCCTTTCCAGGTTCTTCTAGCTCCCGTCTCCCACGGGGCTATAGCAACGCAGCTCACTCTCCTTCCTTTCTTCCCAAGAAGAATGAAGGCGTCAGGTGTGACCTCACACCCTCACCTATCTACCAGATAGATAGATGGGTGTCTCACAACTATGCTCCTCCCTTTTCTCTAATTTCAAAGAATGTTTAAGACTGTTACGTGTCTCTGTGGCCCTAACCTCCTGCCTCCAAGGGCATTATTTATTTATTCCTCCCAAACATAGAACTTCATTTTTCTTTCCCTCTTAGGTTGTTACAAGTAGCTTAAAACCATACATAGGCTTCTCCTATGTTCTCCTTCTAGTTCCCTTTCATTTCTTTTTTTTCTCTTTTGCATCCAGAGTTTTTGGGAGTTACCTACATTTGCTGCCCATGCTTGCTTTTCTCCTAGAGATCTCCCACCCGGAACCAGCCATCGGCCTTGCTGAGGACATTAGGGGGCCCCTTCTCCTCTACAGAGTGGAGACCTCTCCACTTTGTTTGACAATACAGATCCCTCGTTCCTTCTCACAACGCCCTAGTCACTCACTCTCATGACACAACCCCCCGGGTTCTCTCACTGACTCTGAGTGTTCCTTAACTGGTCATCTTTACTTATGCCCCTTTCTTTGCTCAACCCTTTTACCTTCCTCTAACCAGCCTTGGAATTTTATGTTCTGTTCCCAAAGAATTTAGGTAATTTCCTCTTACTGTAATGACTTCGTTGAGTATCGGAAGCAACCTTTTGTACATAGAGCAACTTCATTTCAGTGCTGCCATTTTAATATAATTGGAAGGAAAAAAAACAATGACCCAACTGGATGGAATTAGCAGCGTGGCTGTGTTCTTGCATGAACAGGCAGCATCCATTTCATCACAACCTACTGGCAAGTCTCTCCCCACACTACGATTTCAGAAAAATGGGAATGGAAAAAAAAAATCATGCATCTTAGACCTGGAGCAACTGCAGTATATAACGTAATCCTCACAAGGCTCCCCGAGGCTGAGCTCCCTACCTCTCTGGCCTTATCTTTTGCTGCTGCTTGCCTTTGCTTAGTGCACTATCAATACACCAGATGGTTTGAAATGTTCTCCTCACACGCGATGCCCTTTTGTGCCTATGTTTTTTCTTGCTGTTCTTTCTGCCTGAGTGCTGTTCTCTTTGTGAGTTATCTGAAAAGATGACTGACATGGATTCATCTTTTGAGGCCATAGTCACATTACACTTCTTCCCAAAGGATCACTGACCGTCTCTTCTCCCCTGTGATGTTTAACACCTCCTCGCCAGGCTCCCATTACACTCGGGATCACTCTGTCACGGCATTTAATACATTGTGAATTTATTGTTAATTCATTTGTCTATTTACCTTCATTATTCTTTACCTCCTCTATTGCCAGCATTTAGACCAGAGCTCAGCACTGATTGATTCACAATAAATATTTGATGAGGATATTCCCAGTACCTTAGAGCTGATGAAATACTTACTATAATACAGATAAAGGCTATAGCTGGTGCTTCTATTCTAAGTGATCTTTTGGCTTCATAATAACGAAACTATATTCTTCACTTAAAAAAAAAAAAGAAAAAACCTCTTACTTAAAAACTTAAACTTCATGTTCTAATGAGTAGATACCACAAATAATTGATCTTCTCAGTTTTCCCTTTTTAATACATTATACAAAAATAACCTAAGATGATCAAGCAGAAACTTGTAGTAGAGTTGAAAAATTTTATTCACTGTTCAAAAAACAACCAATTTCCACTGACGCTTGATATTTTAAACTTAGACACTAAGAAGCTTGTTGAATGTCTGATGTCTCAATGATTTGACCATGGTTACATTTTTGAACTCAACAGCACACAACCACAGTTGAATATGTACCACTACTTCCCTTTGGCTTCTTAGCCAAGTTTGAATAAATTCCTGTCAAGACATCCTGTTAATGCATTTGCTTCTGATGATCAGTTTGCAAAATAGCTCCTTTGGAAAATGTGAAATGAGCAACAGAGACTTCTACCCTTGTCCCATAATGTGATTTCAGTTACTGTATGTTCTTGCATGAGGAGCAAATGATTGTCATCCCCAAAAGTCTCAAAGGACATGGATGTCATCTTAATAAAGAAATTAAAAGGTACATCTTTTCATGAGAAACCACGTAAATTCGTGACCTGTCGCAGAAAATAGTTCTCTAATTGGTTTTGTGTGGTGGTGCAGAGGAATAGTTTTTCCTAGATGTCACCCCAGCGAAACACCACTGTACATCATTGTCAACAGCTAGTGAAATCTCCCTAATAAGAGAGGGACTATACAATGTGGTCCTCCTCATAAACTAAAAAGTTCATTCATATTACACTTTTCAACTAATATTTTCGGCTAGATGTTTTCAATTTTTCTGTTGAAGAACAAACTAAGCATGGGGATTAAAAGCTTATAATTATGGAAAACCTCTTTAAAATCCAAATTTATCTTGTATCTGTTGACGAGGCATTTCTAAATCTAAATACTCAAAGAGTTGTCCTGAATTCCCAGGGATGTGTCTCTGGAGAGCACCAACTATCTGAAACGAAAACATCAAAATTCAATTTAGAGTGATCCAGGTATCAAACATTTTGTAAGACATCAGGGTGAATGATCTAATTTCTTAAAATATTTACTGATGTACTTTGCATCATGAAGCCTTACCTTCCTAAAAGAAGTAATTTTGAAAGTGAGAAGGCTGCTGAGTTAGTAAAGATCGTCTGCAGGTTATACAGGAATGCTAAAGTGATTACCATTACACTCAGTCAGCTCTGAAAAGGGACGAGAATGAAATCATTAGCAAAGAAGACATGAAAAATTTTGAGCCCATTTCAAATTTATTGCCCTAAAAGATGATTATATATGTTACATATTATATAATTCATATAATATTACATTATATATATGTATACATATTGCAGAAGTGAGCCCCATTTTGACATTTCTATTTTAGACAAATGCAGACTCTGAAATTCTTTAAATCAATATTTCATATCAGCTGCTGACAGCATTCTTTTCTCTTTTGAAAACATGGCAATGGATATTGTTTCTACCTTGTGATCTTTGTAAACTAGGCAACTTGCCTATCAACACTTGATATTCATTTACATAAAGTCACACTGGAGCAAAAGTTAATTTTGCTCTAAGAATACATGGCCTTCAGAACTAACTTTTCAGATTTCCTTTGTTAAAAGATTTAAATTCATTTTATGAATGTATATGTGTTTTCCTAACTGTCTGGTTAAAGATTACAAAGAAACTCTGGTTTTGCATCTCACATTAGCAGATGGTGGGCAGATGGTTTAAATTAATATTAATTTTGGAAAACTAAGCTTAAATTGTTTATACTGAAGATTAAAAGTTGGAAAGCCAACTAACATCTCCAGGGTTATTAGTACTTCCAAACCCACTTGAAAAGTAAAATCCAGAAAATCAAAACGTCTACTTTTAAAGCAATCCACATCTTACTCAGAAAGAAAGTTGATACAACACAATGCCTTGACGTTGAAGAAAATTAAAATAAGAATGAGGAAGAGAAAATACAGGTCCTGGAGTATAAAGAAGCTTGACAAGAGCTTATAGAGGTTATAAGGAACCTATAGCAATAATTGCTTATTAAAAAAACAGTTTATCAATAATAAAATCAATAACAGTTCTAGCCAACTGGAACCAGCATTTCCACATTTAGCTTTTATTCCTTTTATTTGAAATTAATCTCCGGTGCCTGGGTGGCGTAGTTGGTTAAGTGTCTGACTTCAGCTCAGGACATGATCTCACGGTTCGTGAGTTCGAACCCCGCATCGGGCTCTGTGCTGACAGCTAGCTCAGAGCCTGGAGCCTGTTTCAGATTCTGTGTCTCCCTGTCTCTCTGACCCTCCCCTGCTCACTCTCTCTCTCTCTCTCTTTCTCTCTCCTCTCTCTGTCTGTCTCTTTGTCTCTCTCTCAGAAATAAATAAAACTTAAAAAAATGAAATTAATAGTTTCTTCCCATATCCTCACCCCCGAGGAGAGAGAGAGGGGATATCTGTGTATTGGTGATGAACTGTAGACAAAAACTCTTGCATGCACACAGCCTCTGTCTACTTCAGTAGGCCAATGGCCAGTAGCCCATGCTGTCATGGCTGAATATAGTTTTGTCTTTCCACTTAGATTTTAATGAATGTAGAACATTGGTAGGAAAAATTCAAACTATTCTCTAAAAATTGTGTGTTTTACAAACTGAATCTTTTATACATTCTCTGAATTTTAGTGACTAATTTAAAATAACCCTAAAGATATTTAACAAAATCTTCTCATTTAGTGAAAGGAGGAAAGTATGAATCACCACCTGTGAAAATACATAGCTTTGCCTAAAATTATATCTTTTGCAAAATAAGAGAATTCACTCTTTTTTTCAATTATTTGTCAGGCAGATGCTGGCAATTTTATTTAATTAAGATGCTATGGTAAAGCAGGTGTCATAAAATATGCTCAAATCCAGTTGAGTCCTTTTTACTCTTCCTAGGGGGGAAACTCCAGTTTACTTTATAGATGCAGCTTTGGGATACGACCATAATGAATAGCCACTTCTAGCTTTACCCACAATCCTAGATTGCCCACCTTCTTAAATAGATGAAGGAGAAATACAGTAAATAAAATTCAAGATGTATGATTTTTAGAAAAACATCATAACACATGTACATTAATGTATACTTAAAAGTTATGTTTTAAAATTGTAAGCCAAAAACACATTGTCCTGTTTCAAGAATTAGGTTGAAAGTTATTCAAAACTTTATTCTAAATCCTGTACCACATTGAATTTAATGTCTCTGATGCTGCTTGAATTATCAATAAATAACAAGTGAGGCATTGTCGGTCTAAGAAAGCTGCACACACACACCCACACACACACCCACACACACACACACACACAGAGGAATTATGATAAAGTGAAGAGGAAAGCGTGGATAATCCTACAAATTTTAAAATTTATGAACTGTTTTCTAGAAGACGACACAATTAACAGACATTAAAATCTGTAAGGTTATCTAAACTTCATGTCTGTTCTTAGAAAAAAAGGGACATCAAATGCCCATTTTAAATACTACTTGCATAATACTTCTAATTAGGAATCTTGAAACAGCACTCTAGTGAGAAGAAATCGGCAGTGTGTAAGGAACAGGACAATGCATGGAGAGTGACTTCTTGTCCAGGCTCTGCCACTAAAAACGGCACTGTGTTCTTGGCTCTTAACCTCTCTTGAGCTTTTTCAACTGATGCATTTGATTCATTTCAACTGATTCATTGATAACTCAACAATCAACTGGGAACTGGGAACTCTCCCAACTCCAAGAGTTCCCAAGAGTTCGGAGCTCTCCAAGGTTCCTTCCGGTTTTGAGAGACCAAGGACAGTACGGCTGTGCTCCTCAGTGTGCTGTGCCTTAAGTCACGTCAGGCCGCTGTCAAAAACAGAGACCTGTAGGTCCCGCATCTAAGCCTGTGAATCAGAATCAGGCAGGAATCTGTGTTGGTAACCGACACCCTCAGTTTTTTAATTGGGTAAGTTTGGACAACACCAGTCTATGAAAAGACCAAATGTCAGCACCTGGAGGAACACTTGCTGAGTGCTAACTCCAGGCAGACGGAAGCACATTTCACTTTCTCTTTCCCTTACATTGCATTCACATCTCCGCTGTAACGCCATCCACAGTGCTACAATGATTTCTTTGTATCTTTTTATCTCAAGAGGAAAGAGATCCAAATAAATATCTGGATCTCAATAAATGCTGAATGTTGGGATGAATGCATGAATGGACAGGTTCTAGTTTGGAATCCTGTTTTAGTCACACATCAGTAGGTAACCTTGGACATGTTGCTAAATCTCCATGAACCACTTTTCTCATGTATAAAAATGAAAATGTTGACATTTTGATTTGGTATTAGTGTTTCACTGAACACTAATTTATGAGTACTGGCCTCATACCACATATTCATTTATCAGAGTGAAAAGTATTGTATCCAGGGGCGCCTGGGTGGCTCAGTCGGTTAAGCGTCCGACTTCAGCTCAGGCCATGACCTCGCAGTTTGTGGGCTCAAGCCCTGCGTCAGGCTCTGTGCTGACAGTTCAGAGCCTGGAGCCTGCTTCCGATTCTGTGTCTCGCCTTCTCTCTGCCCCTCACCTGTTCATGCTCTGCCTCTCTCTGTTTCTCAATAATAAATAAATGTTAAAAATTTTTTAAAAATATTGTATCCAACCAAAGCTAAGATGAAATAGCTCTTTATGAAGTATAAATAATAATTTGATTTGTTTGTTTGGTGTTTGTTTCCTGTTTGTATTATTGTAAGAGAAATGTTTAATAAATTGAGAGATTCTGAGGATATTTCAAGGGTAGTTTAAGTACTCGGGTACTCAGTTAAAATAAGAGAGTGTCTTTTTAAAAGTCATTCAGAATTTAAGAATATTTAACTTAAAGAGTTTTTCCTACTATCTTCCATTTTTAAAGGAAACAGTTCCGGAATCTTTGAACAAAATGGATTTTTATTCAACTTTGCACCTTTCTAGATGTTAGCTATTAAGATCTTTCTAATTTTGGTTAAAGTATTTTCAAATTTCAGGTATATTCTTTGTTTGTTTGCTACCAAAAGAACTCATATTCTCATTCATTTCTTTTAGGAAAGTATATAACATTTATCCTGGACCCCTTTCAGTACCAGTTAGTAGTGAAAAACCGCAAGTTAAGCTTTCGAATATTTACTAATAAGCTATTAAGGAAAGCATTTTCCATCGAAAAGCTGGCGACCAATGATGACCTGAACGATGAACTTCATGTCTGCTATCAATTTTTACAAGGGAAATCTTTGGACATACTCACAGAAAACATGATGCAGAATTTAAAACAAGTTTTTGAACTCCAGCTACTAAAAGCCACAGATTGGGCCACGGCACACCTGTTGGAATTCTGCAGCTCGATACTGTTTGAGATCACCTTTACAACCATATATGGAAAAGGTCTTGCTGGGAGTACGAAGACATTTATTACTGAGCTAAGAGACAATTACTTAAAATTCGATGACAAATTCCCATATTTAGTATCAGACATACCCATAGAGCTTCTAGGAAATGTCAAGTCTGTTAGAAAGAAACTTATAAAACATTTGACATCGGAACACTTAGCTAAGATACAAGGACGGTCAGAAGTTGTTCAAATGAGGCAAGATATCCTGGAGAAATACTACACGCACGAGGACCTTGAAATAGGAGGTAAGAAACTTCTGAATGATTGCTTGTCTAAAATAAAATAATTTACAATAGACCTTTGAAATAAAAAGACAAAATGGTGACCTTGAAAATTTTTATGCTCTTTCTAATTGGCTAATGATAAAATGTTTTACTCTGAAACAACCTTCTGTGATAATTGATTTTTTTTTTTTTTTTTTTTTTTTTTGCCGAGGTGGTAAAGCAAGATACTTAATGGTGATAATGAGAAAGAGTATAACTAAGCTGCATTTCCTCCTCTTATCTCATCCCCCACGTCCCCACCCCCCACGCACACATTACATTTTAAACTATTCTCATTAAGCAGAAAATTAGACTTCAGAAGTCTATTGGTCCTCATTAGCATGCACTGATCCTTGGCTGGGTCTGTGTCCTAACATCTTTTAATTAGCACACTGCAAATCTAATCAGTGTAATAAACGCTATTAATCTTCCTTTTCACTTATTTTCTCCCAGCACATCATTTAGGCTTTCTCTGGGCCTCTGTGACAAACACTATTCCAACTACGTTCTGGGCGATGTATTACCTCCTGCAGCACCCAGAAGCTATGGCAGTGCTGCGTGACGAAATTGACCATTTGCTGCAGTCAACAGGTCAAAAGAAAGGGTCTGGATTTACCATCCACCTCACCAGAGAACAATTGGACAGCCTGGTCTACCTAGGTAATTTATTTTTATCTGTTATGAAGAAAAGAAGGTACCTCTCTGCAAACTCCGTTTATCACTCAAAGCTGTTTACCACGAGGTAGAGGACACAGCTGCCTAATTGACATAATAACACCCATTTACATCAATTATAAATTATGTAGTTTATAGCTGTAGATACTCTCATTACATGTAAACATTAAGGCCTAGGTAATTAACTATGCAAGGTATGCAAAAGGCTAAACCAAAGCTTTGCAATTATTTGGAAAAAAAAAAGGTTTATGCCTATTAAGTCATTTGATTCTGAGCATCTGGTGGTGTGCTAACGCGTTCCAAACACTGCTGCACCATCTCGACAAGAAAGGTATTTGGGGACTGGAAAGAAAAGTATTTCAGAAAGGCAACAACTTGTGGACCAAATGTACTTATTCTTCCCGAAAATGGTAGGATGTTTTATACAGCTGTAAGTGTATGATTCTCAAAAATGCAGTAAAGGTGATTTCCCCTGGAAGTTCTTAGCTTGAACATACTTGGGGAGAAAAAAAAGGAAGGAGGGAAGGGAAGAAAAGGAGACAGCCAGGAAAAGCAGCAGCGGCAACTACTAATTACTCCACTTGAAATGTGAAAATTTCATAAAATAATCACTGACTCATGAGATATGCATGGTCACTATTTCAAATATATTTGAGGTCAGGAGTGACTAAGTTGTTTTTCTGTTTCTACATAGACCTGTCCACCAGTGACCTGAAAGTTTGATGACAATGGATTGCATTTTCCTTGACCAGTTTTGATAAGACGCTTCATATGTCTGTGTGAATAAACTTTAACTCCCAAAGTTAAATTCCACATCAATGAGTTATTTCTGTCCCTTCTCTGTTGATATTTCATCCCGTGGTATCCTTTACTATACAATAACGCGAGTCCCTTTAGACACAGGTAGGAGTATGTCTTTATATATATCTGTTGTTTCACTCCTGACAATGTCGGCAAGTCTTTTAGCCCGTGATGGCCTCAATTTTTTATCTTTGAAATATGTTCCAGGTTCACATTTAAAAAGGGGAGGGAGAGGTGCCTGGGTGGCTCAGTCTGTTAAGTGTCCAACTTCGGCTTGGGTCATGATCTCATGGTTCATGAGTTCGAGCCCCAAGTCGGGCTCTGTGCTGACAGCTCAGAGCCTGGAGCTGCTTCAGATTCTGTGTCTCCCTCTCTCTCTGCCCCTCTCCTCTGCATGCTCCGCCTCTCTCTTGCTCTCAAAAAATGAATAAACATTTTAAAATAATAATAATACATAAATATGTTCAGGTTCTTTGATGGGAACTTCTGGGAACAAAGAGCTTCCAGATCTTGAGTTGTGTTGACTATCGGGTGACATTAAAAAGAATGGCCCCTGTGTTCAAAGAGATTGTTCCCAGGGACTAGGCTACGACCCATCCGAAGCAGTAGCAGGAAACTTTTCTCATACAGGCTATTGGCTAGCTTGTTCCCTCAACTGGGAAAAATGTGTCACCGTATAGTTCTTGGCATACATTAACCCAAATATTGTAGCATGCATTATCCAAATATTTTATATTTGCCTGGAGAAAAGAAGTAATCCCAACATGATCAAAATACAAATATTATTTTGGTCTTCTTTGCAGAATTATTGGTGAACAAATCCAAAAAATGTGCATAAAATTCTGGGTAGTCACCTTCACGTGGCTACACAGTATTTTGTGGGTAGAAGATTTATAGTTCTATGGAAATCAAGGTTGCTTTGCCATATATTCCAGTAATGTCAGTTGCATTTTCTGAATCAGCTGATGCATACTGGGAAGTAAAGCAAATAAACTATAGAATTATGTGTTTGTATTCTGTACACAGTTATTACACTTAAAAATTTAATTGAAATTCGTCAACTCTCTTCTTACTCTCAGCGTCTTGTTATTGAAAGAAAAGGTCATTTTAAAATTGTAATATTGGGGCGCCTGGGTGGCTTAGTCGGTTAAGCGTCCGACTTCCGCTTAGGTCATGATCTCGCGGTTCATGGGTTCGAGCCCCGCGTCGGGCTCTGTGCTGACTGCCAGCTCAGAGCCTGGAGCCTATTTCAGAGTCTGTATCTCCCTCTCTCTCTGACCCTCCCCTGCTCACTCTGTCTCTCTCTCTCTCTTTCCTAGAAATAAATTAAGATAAAATAAAATTGTAATATTAAAGCAGAAATGTTTAAATTTATTTGATCCGAAGAAATGGCAAGTTCCAGAGCTACAGTTTGGGTCCATTTAAGTTCATGGCCAGAGCTAGAGGTTTTCACCCTTGGAGCCCTCATTAATTTACAGCTCATTTATCATCAACAAATGGAAAACAATTATCCCAAGAGAGTGTAGATCTACCTGGATAGAGGTGGAGCCTTGAGCAATCTAGAAGGGCGGATCTCTGTTCATCGTGACCTCGGTTACCAGAAGAGGCCAGTGTTGTTCATTACGAGGATTTAATCTTCTAGAAAATAGTGTGCATTGTTTCTTGCATGAGATAGACAGTTTGATGCAGGTTGAAACAAATTTTTATATGAATTAGTAACACAACAGATAACCTCTGCATCTGGTCATAGTTCAGTTGTGAATATTTCTCGATATAAGAAGAGTATGAACTATACGTCCAAAGGCAGATTCACAGAATTAAATATTTACAGTGTACCCCATGATGTGGGTGTATATGTTTCCCCTTTTTCATGTGCTTAAGGACAGAGTTGTATATAGTCTAAGTATATTTCTTTAAAAATAAAGACCTCTTGAATTTCTGTTATTATAAGGAAAAAGATCACAAGGATGAAATGAATGCTACCGTATTTTTTTAACTAGGAAGAAGAAATTTTTTTGAACCAGGAAGAAGAAATCTCTTTTAACAGAGATTTTGCAGGTCAGCATACATCGATTATAAAGGAAGGTTGAAAGGAAAGTTAGAATGCCGTAGAAATGAGTGCTTTATTCCTGAACAAAAATGATTTCTCTTGTTTAGAGCGATTATAGAAGACAGAGCCCAATGGGGCATGGGTTTATCTCGATGCGAATCATTGTGCGTATATTATTGATGTTTGTGGCTCAGTCCTCTAGGCATTACGTGTATCAAATTTCTTCTGACGTCAATATACACGTAATATCAGCAAAAGTTAAAATATGTCCCATAAATTGGGCTTTTAAGTACCAAGCCCGTTTAAAGAATTCAAAGCAATCATCTGTTGTAAGAGGTTGTGAGGGATTCGTGCTTTTTTCTAATGCTCTTGAGAATCTTTCTCTAAAACCATTCCACCCTTTATTTATTTATTTTTTTTTTGGATAAAGAAAAACACAACTTTCTATTTTTGTATACTTATGTAACTTACTCTACGGACTCTGCTTATCATGACTTCACTAAAATTTTATATTGATTGTTTAATACAGGTTTCTACAACAGATTTTAAATTACATTAAAAATAAAATAGTAAATGCAGTGAGGCTCAACTAACAGCCAATTGGGCCTAAATCTCAACAGGAAGAGCTGCTGATAGAAGGGAAGTTTGAGAAACTCTGAGAGAAAAGTAAGAATTGTTCAGTTTTCCTAGAAAGAGAAACCTGGAGTTGGGATTTAGACAGAGAAAGGAGAAGGAGAAAAGATGAGTCCGAGAGCAGAAAAAAGATAATGCAAGGAGGGGAATCTCAAAATTGGAATTTTGACAAATGGATGGCAGATAATCTCTCTGAATACTACCTCTTACTTCCACATTTGCCTAAATAATGTATGTAAATAACTTTAAAAGTATGGGTTCAATAAGCGTTATCTGTTGCTGTCTCCAAAGTGATGTCTAACCTCAACACCATCCCTACAATGCTTATGTTGTTCTCTTCATTTTCAATTATTTGTGAATCAAACTGCTATCAAATTCAAGTCTACCTTACCCCACAGGAGTGATCTTTCTGTGCATAACACGTGAAAGAACAAACATACTCTAAGAAGAACCTAAGTCAAGGTGGCGTAGAAGTTCTGAACTGAATAAGTGAATGACTCGGGGGCATTGCAGGCACCTAAAATGGTTCAACTGCGTATTCTGAAAATGAGAAAAGTTGCACACGTGGCTGAAGTGAGGGATATTGGAATAAAATTGCTGTAAAACTACAGCTCAGCAAAATGTGCGATACTTTTTAAAAAGGAGACCATATAGTATAAAGCCCCTAGAATTGTGCGCCTGGCGTGAGTGATTCTCCAACAAAATTCTATCAGAACTTGAAGCCCAATTAGTGAGGAGAAAGAAGCGGAAACAGAAAGAAATGATCAATTGAAAAAATAAAGATCCCTTAATAACAAATAATGACTATAAGACATAGTCCATGTTAAATATATTAATGGCTTCACAATTTCGAGGCAATTTCATGGACTCCTACATTTTTTTCAGGTGATCTTCCCCAAAATACTGGGGGACCGGGGCAGCTCTTACGTTGTCATTATTTTTACAGATGAGAAAACGATCACGATGCTAAATAACTTGCCTGAGGTCATGGAGATAAAGGGTTTCTGGCCACATCCAACCTTTTCCCCTCAGACTTGTCTGATAGCAGAGCCCTCCTGAGTCCTTTTTCATTGTCTGAACTGAGAGGGGAGAGGAATTCTTTGTATCTTGATTCAGCAAAGCTAGCCATGATGTGTACACGTACGAGATCAGAAAGTATGAGCAAGATGGTGATAGAGTTAACTATCGTTTTAATTTCCAGATGGAATAGTATGAATGACAGTATTAACCACTATCGTTTATTATGTGGTGGGCACTGTGCTACTGCTTTACATATATTAGCTTCTTTAATCTAAAGGTACTAGTGTCTTCACTTAATTATTAGGTAACAAGATGCAGAAAGATTAGTTAACCAGCTCAACTCCTACAGCTAGGTATGTGGCAGAGCTAGAAACTGATGCCAGCTCTAACTTAAACGCCAGCCCATAAATACCATCACCGCTGGGGGAAAATGCTCTACAACTGTAGCAGAGAACTTGACCACCCTTTTACAAGGATATGGATCACTAATTCTCAGACTCAGTTGAGGGTGTTAAGGGGGCTAGAGGTTCGCATCAGAATTTGGGGGCTGTTTTTTAATAAAAATAAGTCTTTCATTTTAAAATAAGTTTACATTTACAGAAAAATTACAAAGACGATAGAGTCCCCACATGCCCCCCCCACACACACACACATACAGTCCTTCTTATCACTATCATCTTAGTGTGGTTATTTGTCACAACTGGGGGTGTTATTTAGAAAAAGCTTATTCAATATTAAAGATAATTGTGTATTTGAAAAATAACATAAATTGTTTCTGTTTATTTATTGTTGAGAGAGACAGACAGACAGAGTGCGAGCAAGGGAGGGGCAGAGAGAGAGGGAGACGTAGACTCTGAAGCAGCTCCAGGCTCCGAGCTGTCAGCACAGAGCCTGACGCGGGGCTCGAACTCACAAGCCACGACCTGAGCTGAAGTCGGATGCTTAACAGACTGAACCACCCAGGCGCCCCATTTGTCTTTAAATATTTTTAAAGGGCTGATATATGGATGAGGAATTCGAAATTTTGTTTTTGCCTTTGTCTTTCCAGGACTTTCTAAATGCCATCTTTACAAGTATCTACTCAGGAATTATGCAGAATCTCGTCTAGGATCTTGACACGCATTTCTGTTTATATGCACTTCCCGACTTTGAACTACTCAGATTGCAGGGTCCATTACAGCCAAATTTCTTTTTTTTTTTTTTTTTTCTCCGGCAGCAGTGGTCCACTGTCCTGAGCAGAGTAGGACCTTCATAAGCATTTACTGAACATAGGAATGTTGAATTTACATTTCCACATTTTAGCAGAAAACCAAAGGTTGTGTCTGTAGTGCAGAGTGACAGTAGACATTTGTACCGATTACCTATGTACCTTTAACTTGATTTAAAATATATGACGCAGTTGTTGAGCCAAAAATTCGCTATTTGCTTCAAGTTATCTGATTATTGCCATTTCTAATTTACCTTCTCACCTGTCTTGAAGGCAGTTATGTAAAAATGCACACGCACACACCTGGAGCCTCACTCCATTTCTTCACACCCTCAGACCACTGCCTGCGGACCCCGCTGTCCCCCCTTGTCATCCACCTTTGTAAGACCGCCCAAGTGCTCAGCCCCAGTGGACTGCGGGAGGGCCAGGCTGTCCATCTCGCTCCAGCCATCACTGCTATCCACGGACACCATGGCTAATCAGACGGTATGACAGTCTGCACCGATCATTAAGATGACCCAAATTACCAGCCTGGCCGTGTCACAGTACATTCATTCCACATATACAGACATGGCCTAAGTGTGAGGCAGACACTTGGATGTGCTTATTTGTGTTTGCATCGTTATATGCATTATTGATTGTCATGAGCTGCTTCAGCGCTTTAAATCTGCAAATGAGAATCATCTGTCAATTATTACAGCCAGAATTGAGATCTGAGGGCAAAAGAGAAAGCGTGTATGGCTCTTTCTACCAGCAGTGCCTTTCGTTTGCCATTTTCCTTCACAGTTACGTGGTGAAGCATCTTAGCTCAACACATTCCCCAGCTTCTGCTTAGAAGGGATACTTAATCAGAATATTTTTAGCTCCTGAAAAGAGAAACAAATCTCTCCTCGCCAGGTGAAGGAGGTGGTTCAGGCTCTGCACTGTACGTTCATGGTGGGAATCCTGTGATCCAGTTTCCTAGTGCGAACCGGTCCGTAGCGCTTAGTTCTTAATAAAACACAGGCAGCCTTATCTTAATCACAGTCGAGTCGTTGGCACCTGGTGGTGCCTGGTGTAAATTATCCCCAAAATATTTGCATTCTCGATAGCCATTTCCCCCCAATGCATTTCATGAGTAGAGGGTCCTATTACCTGCTAAATGTTAGTATAAATTAACAATCCATTATGCACAATAAGTTTTATAAAACATTTACAGATAGAGATCATGTTTAATTAAAATTAACTTGCATATGAAAGCCAAGGGCACTAATGATCACAATGACCTTTTATTACCTACAGTCCCTTGTTTTGGCTGGATGATTGACAGCTTGCTGTTTGGCTACCATGTTGAATTTCAGCTGACAAGACTTTTCATTTTAACTCAATTTGCCCGCCTATCACAAGCTGGTGGCAGGCCAGACCCAAGTCACCCAGCTTTGCCTCAGCAGCTTGCTCTACTTCTCATTAGTACGCATTTATTCAGTGGAAATTGGAAGACAAATGCTTGAAGGCATGTGAACTAAGTATAGCAAATTAGGTTTAAAGACTGAATATTTATAAGTATATGGAAAGTTTTTTTTTTTTTTTTTAATTCTAGAGCGAATTGAGAACTGAGTGCTAGCTTTGGTATAAAAGAAATGAAGATAGAAGGGGGGAAGGAAGATGCTAAGAATAACAATACTATACGCTTTCCCTTTCCATTTTGGAAATCTGTAAAATCTCTCTGACAACACCTTATCAAATACCAACCTGGCCTCTCCTCCGTGGAGTGCTTGCACAATGAAGTTTAACACCTCGTGTGTGAGAAGGAGGAAAGAAACGAGGGTCATGTTCATTTGTTGCTTGGTTATCCCTTGGTATGTTTTAAATTGCCTTGTTTGTTCGGCACTAGCATAGAAACAGATGTTGCTCGGCCGCGCGGGGTGATTTACGGTTCCTCCTGGTGCAGCATGGAGGCCCTCCCGGGGCCCAGCTGGCCCGGCGGTGGCACTGGCTGCTGTCTGCTCAACTATCACAACTACCAGTCGAGGCTGCAGCTTTTTTATTCTGCAGTTGTCATTCTTCTCAACATAGAGCTCTGCCTGCATCCTTCCGGGGGCTGGCGGAAAAGCTGCTGGCTTTTGTGTCCGTCTGTGTGACACGCAGCCACAGAAGCCCTCCTCTGCGCTGCTGACAATAATGCAACTCATTACTTCTGTCATCTAATGATTATGGGCATGATGGCTCAGAGCGATGGCCAGCCTCGCCTTGCGCGGGTACCGGGAGGTGAAACAGATTTGTCATTTACGACCTGACCGCTCAGCCACACTTTGCGCCCCATTACTGTGATTAACGTCTGCCTAAGACATGCTTGCCCGACTGGCATTTGGGGCGCTGCAGCGGGCGCGAGCTGCCGTGCCCCCCTCGGGCGCGGCGGCCCATCGGACGCCACCGTGTCGTCGGGGCTGGAGACGCCTGCCCTGTCACAGAGCCACCCCACAGTTATTTTGGCCTTTGTGTGTCTTCTTCCCACGGCCCTGCTGGACCTGGGAGGCGAACAGCACTGCCGCGTGTGTCAGCCGCCGCTCCGCGCCCAGGGACGCCGGTCACCGCCGAGGTGCCCCGTGGCCGGCCGCAGGAGGGCCCACGCTCCAGAGCCGGACTTCGTTTCTGGCCGCGTGGCCCTCGGACCGCTTTGCCGCCGCCTGACCGTGGTAACGAGGGCGGCGCAGAGAACGTGCCGGGCCTCCCCGCTCGCGCACTGGGTCACCGCGCGGGCCGCGCAGCCGCGCTTCCTCAGGCAAATGCGCGCCTGGGGAAAAACGCCCGGGGAGAGGGCTCCCAAAGGAACCTGGTGTCCTTGTGCACGCGTGTGCACATGTCAGTTCTAGTGAAATAGCAGTTTTTGAAAAAAATTTTTTGGGTGATGCCCGCCCTCGCTGACCAATGAACTGCTATAATGTAATCACCGAGTCCTCTGTGTTTCACAGCTTTGCTGAACACCGAGAAATTGGGGGTGTGTGTGTGTGTGTGTGTGTGTGTGCGCGCGCGGGTGTGTGTTCTAAATTGCAAGCCATAAACACAACCGTTTGTTGCCATGTGAAAGGGGACAAACGGTCGACTTGGAGCTCCTTTTCACATTGCCGATTAGAAAGAATCAAGCTTTATATTCTAGGACCCATTCACGCTGGTGAAAACGTAGTCAGTTTTGATTACGAAGGCCGAGATGCAGCCCTAGACAGGAGCTACATGCTGATACGCATGCTATCAGAATGATTTATGCAAATTATGCATATTATTCCCAAAGGAATTCCTCCTCAAACTGCCAGGATAAATTGCCGGAAATTAGCCATAAAATCTGCCGTGCTAGGAGCAAAGGGTGAAGGCCACTGGGAAAGCAAGGACATTCCGCTTCTGGAAGCTTCCAGGTTATGACGGTGGCTGTTATTTTCCCCGGATGCTGAGGGAAACACGGTTTTCCTCTGAATCCTATAAAAGTCTTTTTCCCTTGAAATTTTTCCGATAAACGCTGACCCACATTTTATTTACAGCTAGCGTAAAAGAAATTAAGTGTTAAGCCATCGCAGAAAGCACTACTACAATTACTTTACCATTAGCGGCCTAAGTGCTTATTAACTTTCTAAGCCTGGCTTTCAAGAGGTAGCTGTTCTGGAGGTTGGTGAGATAATCCACCAGCACCATACTTTAACGGGGATCTGGTTTTAATGTCCAAAGGATATACCTGTAACACAGCATCTCACTCTCACAAACCTTTCCGTCTTACAAAAAGCCTCGTTAATGGCTTTCTGCCCAAGTACAGCGCCGTTGCCCTCTGTGACTAGGGCCAGGTCACAGCTGTCTCCGTCGCCTCATCCTCACTCTGGCCGTGGAAGGCCACCATGACTCCCTCTTGGTGCTCAACGGAGCTGATTAGGAGAGGGCTTCGTTTTCAATCAGAGCAGTTGGTAATGAGCTTCGCGGCGAATTGAGTGCACTGTTCAGGAGCAGTCGTGTTTTAATAAGCTGTTGTTGCTTGTGTCCTTCAGAAAGCACCATTCTCGAGGTTTTGCGACTATGCTCATTTTCGAGCGTCTTTCGTTTTGTTCAAGAGGATTTGACTGTACATTCAGAGACGCAGGACTACTGTCTGCGCAAGGGGGACTTGGTGGCCATCTTTCCTCCCGCCTTACACTATGACCCGGAAATCTTTGAAGCTCCAGAGGTAAGCAAGCATCTTCGCTCCTTCTTAGATAACTGCAAGCCCACTCCTCCTCCTCATCCTTATACGCTTTCTTTTTCGTTTTTCTTTTGCTTTCTTTCTGTTTATTTTTTAATTTTTTTGGAGAGCAAGAGCGTGAACAGGGAAGGGGCAGAGGGAGAGGGGCCTCGTACTCTCTCCTGTAGCTTCCTTCTTCCACCTTGTTCCAGAAGGGATTTGAGATGGATGGATGACTTCTTTTCTTCCTTCCAATGGGAAAGTTTTCCTGTTTACGGAAGTGTTTTCTAAGTATCTCTCTTTCAGAGGTTTTGTGATCTCTAAATAGAAATGGAATGATGAGACTAAATGCTAACTTCTTCAAACAAAATAGGCATGGTACCTTGCCCATCATTACTTTAGGCCAAAAAACTAGGCGTCGCTTGGCAGAGACTTATTGAAAGCCAGGGAGGGCTAGCTATTGACAGGCGGCTTAGAGAATAAATGATGAGGACTGTTTTGCTGAGTGTTTCCACAGTGGGGCTGACTATCCCCAAATCAAATACCATCATTGCCATCGTGAAGCCCATATACTTTTTCACCTCTTACCAAAGGTATATGCCCCTTTTTGATCAATCAGGATGGCATTGTGAACTTCAGATTGTAAAGCTGCTGCGTACGGGTGAAGCTCTGAGGGTAATTGTGTCATCTCCTTGTATTTTTTTCTGAAGCTGGAGTTAATGAATATCAAAGACTGGAAATTAATCCACCCTGGCTCATCCCTTAATACCATTTCAGAGGTTCACCACCTGCATGCAAATTGAATGCAGTCATATTCTGCCTGTGTGTCTCATGAAGTAATGTTGTTGCTGTAGCGGTTTTTGTATATAAAATACTATTTTTGAAAGGTGAACTTCTGGCTTTTTGGGGCAGTTTATAGCTGAACCCCTTTTATACCAGTTTCTAAGTTAGAGGCTTTGCAGCCAGGCTAGATTAAAGTATTGTTGGATTTTGGAACGTAATAAGAAGAGGACAGACTCCAACTGGACGCAGTGATGTGCATCTGCATCTATTTAATCAGCAAAGGCAAAATGTTTAAGCGAGGGGGAAATTTGTGCATATGATTTCTGTGTGTTTCAGAAGAGGCATTATATGAATGGCGGTAGCAAATCAGAACTAGGGTATTAGTGAGTGAATGGACATTCTGCAGACAATTAACTTTGTAAATATCAAAAAAAAAAACCCATCAACACATAGACACTCAGTAAATAGGGCAGATAATACCTAATATTTGAAAATATTTTTAAATTTTAAGTTTTATTTCTGTCTGTCGTTTCTTTTCTTTATTTAAATCGTGCTTATTATGTTCATTATGAGACTGTTTCATTAAGTTTACCATTCATATTATGATAGTAAAATCAACAGTGAGGTTATCAACACGTATTCAATAAATGTTTACCAAATTACCACCATTTTGACGGTACTATTCTTTGGTCTCCAAAGTTAACTAGCTAATTTTTTGCTAACATTATTTTCTTGAAATAACTGACGCAGAAAAAATATATGGTTCAGAACCGTTTTTATATGACTCGGCAAAGTCTTTAACATTCATTCCATAAACATTCACCGAGCACCTACCGCTATCAGGCATATAGATTTATTCCTGCCATTTTGATCTTGGGATGACAATAGGTAGATGCTATCGATGCTCATAGAACAGATACCCATATGAAACGACCATCCGCTGACAGTGAAAAAGAGAAGAAAATCCTTAGTTCTGTCCTTGGCCATTTACCACCGAGAGCAGTGGCCCACAAGCTCCTCAGAGCCCACCATCCTTGCTGCCTGTCTTTTGTGCTCTCTAGATCTTGAAGCGGAAGGCCAGGCCTTAGGTATAGGAAACAGACAATAGCTGTTAGGCCAGAAACTTGAAGAAGAATCACTCCAAATATAAGAATAGTTAGTTATTCCTGGAGGACACAGATATTGAAGAGCCTTAGCAGAACCTGGGTTCTGCCACCCAATGAGGCATGGTTTCCAGGATGTTCGAGCCCAAGAGACTCTAGAATATGACATTCCAAAAACAGTCCGTGGTCTTCCTTCACATCCCTTTCTCCTCCTGGAAGACACCTCTTCTCCTCCTCGCTTGTCCACTCAAGAGGTTCCAGATTACTCCACAAGAATCATCCTTAGTCACCTCTGTTTTGACAGTGTTCCTGATTCCCACCTCATTCCTCAGAGAATTTGCCATTGCCCACTGCGGGGTCTGTTGTACCTTCGCTGTATTGCATAGCACCTGCTGCTTTCCAATTACTTATTTGTCTGTGCTCCCATATGCTGTAAGCTCCAGAAGGAGAAGGAGCACATCATTGCCTTCTCTGCATCTCCGTGCCTTGCACATGAGGGTGTCCGCAGGGTGAATAAATAATAAGGGGATGCTGGGATGGTTGAATATTCCGAAAGTGAAAATACACTTAAGTTAAAGCATTAAATCAACATTGATGTTGCATATTCAAATATGTACTGGGCCTAACTAGAACAAATGGATGGAGTGTCTTGTGTAGACACGTAGCAATACTATCAGTAGTGGTAAGAACTATGGAGAAAGGAGAGCCCGGGAGGCATCTAAATAAGACCATTTGTCTACTTCTGAACTGACATTCAGCTCCTACAACTTTGTAGACCTGGCATGGCTGAGGCCTTAAAAAATATAATAATTTTTTTTAACTCAGAAAATAGACTTTTGGGTAAAGTTAAGAATTTTTAAAGGTTTGGAAAAAGAATGTTTAAAAACACAATGTGGACTAAACAAAAAGTGGTCGGTACCTGACTGAGTCTCTCAGCTCCCAACATGTAACTTCTGGGTGAAGAATTATTCTTTTCCTGAATATTGGTTGCTTAGTTTATTGTAATATTAGCACTCAAGTGGCTCTTGCCAAATGGGAAACAAATTGGCAACTAAAATTTAAGACCATGAGAGAGAGCAAAAGAAACACTCCTTCTCAACTTTCCTTTCCCTCTCTTTGTTGGTCTAAATGCTATTCAGAAAGGTCGAGGTGGTTTAACTAGGAATGGGTAGCTTTTTGAAACTTTCTGAAGGCTTCCTCAAGCTTCTGGCTTCTGTTATTTGCCAGAATTCAACCAAGTGGCTCTCAAATAGTCAATAAATAGTGATGATTTCTTTTCTGGCAAAATCTAGTATCCAGACCTGGAGCTACAGAGACGAGCAAGTCTGTTGGTTGTTTTTTCTGTGGCCAGAGATGGTGAGGTACGAAAGGAAGCCTGGGAACACGAATGAGTGATAGGGAAGAAACAGCAAGCCTTTAAGGTAGTAACACTCTATCGCAACCGTGTCGCCTCCTAAAGTAAGGTAACAGCGAAACAACAAAGTAATTACCAAGCCGTTGGCGCACACCCAAAGCTCTGACGCTTTTCCAAAGACCTTATTTGATGTCATGCCAAGTCCGACCTATCTAACTTCTCAGAGGTGTAGGGATTATAAAGCGATAAATGAATTTGAAAGCCCTTGTATAAATTCTGAATCACTATAAAAACTGTTGTATCAATATTATTCTGATTATTGTCACTATTCAACAAATATACTAGCCACAACAGATGAAGCAATATTCTAATATTTTGTCTCTACCTCAAGTTGGTATGGAGATGAAGCCACCAGTATACTTCAAGGAAACATGAATACTGAGCATCTGTTATGCAGAGAGCACTCTGATGGGCGTGATGAGTGGCCTAGAAATTTTTAAGGTTCTTGTCTTTAAGAGCGTAGAGTTTAGGGAATTGGCCTATCACAAGGCTATGTTCTCAGAGCTCGGTGCCTCATATTAAGAGGGTTTCTGCCATACCAGTAAAGTGGCCTTCATACCTACTATGTTGGAACTAGCAGTGTGCTGCCAAAGAGCACTCTGGAAAGCCTTAATTTTGTCAATTATTGTGGTATAAATACTCCCACATGGCTGAGTTCATGTTGCTAATATGAAGACCCTAAGCACAGAGCTGGGAAGAGACGTACACACTCTCTCGACCTAGTGTAAACTAATTGGAACCCAAGCTATGGGGATAAATAGAACTCTGTCATCTTGCTCCCAGGAGCACTGACTGTAAAGCTGGGGCAAGAGCCAGCCCCTTAGTCATCCACTCGAAGCACCGACAGTTTGCATTTTAAGAAGTCGTATCTTTTGTCTAGTCTAGATTCCTATACCCAAAATGATTGGGTGAATACAAAATCTTATTGTATTGTATGTCACCTACCTCAACAAGACTACGTTTTATTTGCAACTTCAGTGTTTCACATACACGGAAGTGCTCAGAAAAATCTCTTAAACTCAACTAAATACAATATTTGGAGAATGCAAATGGGGGTGTTCAATGGTCCTCAGTCACTTGCACCAAAACTCTTTTCTATCTAGAAAATTGTATCGTCTATCCAATATGGACTTCTAGTGCTATTATACCATTCTCTCTTTGTGAACGCTGAATATTCATTTATGCTCCATTCTCTACATATTTATTTACTCATTCGATATCTGTGTTGTCTTCAAAAGCTTGAAGATCAATTTTAAATTATAATTTTATATATTATAATTTTAAATTATACTTTGTTGTCATGTATTCATTTATTAATTCAACAATTGTATATGGAGCCTCTACTAGGTGCATAGCACGATGCCGGGTGCTTTGAAAATACAGAGATAAATAAGACAGTGAAGATCAGGAGATCTCCAATCTCCTGAGATTTCTTGGCTCTACTGTCTCATGTGGGTTAACTCCATCTTCAACCCGGTGGCCCAGCAGTTACAGGCATCATATTCACAGGTAACTAGGGCCAGAAGAGAAGCAGTGATTAAACATTCGCTTGTTTGTCTTTCTTCACGAGAAAGGAACTTCCGTCACATGTCCTCACAACTCTTACCCCTGTAGCACACTTACCCACACGCCCGCCCTAACTCTGTCAGAGGCCAGAGCAGTGTGATTACCATGATTGGTGCCTAGACAAACCTCAGCAGAGGAAAGATGTTCAGAAGTGCACCACAAGAGCGGTTAGTGGAGTAAGGGACATTCCAGTGTCATACCTTTTTGTTAAATGATTTTCTCCGTTCTCATCCACTTAATATTATTGCGTTTAATTGACCTTCTTTCATTGTGAAGTGCTGAGCTATTATGGTCACTGCAAAGAGTTTGGGTCGACATGATGAATCCTGTATTTCAGTCGCTCCAAATAAATGTGTGCATCTTGAGTTCTTCGCACTTTGTTCTTTGTCACTGTGACCCCAGAATATTACAGGTGAGACTATTATACCCCTTCTCGTTTGGGTAAAAGCCAGACCATCTCTCTAGCGTCTGCCACAGGCCTTTCCTAATATTGGTTTCTGCTCTAGTTCTCCACGTCCTGACAATGGAAAACAAACTGAAAATAAATTTTAACTCAAAAATATATTTATGTCCGTGTGCCCTCTGAGCTTGGTGGTAGTAAAAGAGCAACAGACGTTGGCTTTTTCTCTTCTTGTTTCATAATATAAACAACTAAATAGGGATTCCTGCGATGTTTATTAGAAGGAAATTGAATAGAAGGTGGTAGAAAACTAGAAGAGTATCATTGTCGATTGACTAGAAATTTGAGGGAATTCAATGTGAACACTACCTGCAGGTCACAGGGCTGGGCGAGCACATTATATGTTTATCCCTCTGGGCTCTCACAGGGGAGCACGTTCACTTTCACAAAGAAAACAGGAAAGCCACGATGTAAAGCAGTTATTGGCTTATTCATGTAAGCAGGACAGGATGAAGTTGCAAAGCAAGCTAAGTTCTCCTTTTGTATTTCCTGGTTTGGATAGTGCGGCTATAGTGAGACTTTTTCCAACAGATCATTCCGTGAGTACATTAACGTAAATTGAGTTGGCTACGTGAGAAGCTCTTGTGGAGGAGTCTGTCCTCAGAGTGGCCCGTGAGGAGGAGGAAGCAGCAGCCCTAAACTCAGGAGAGCAGGCTTGGGCCCCAGTAATGGAAACGGTCATCGGGAGAGAGTACCATATTGTAACTCTCCAGGAACAAAGTACAGGTCAACAGGAGTGTCCTTGCTCATTGCTACGGGGATGCACAGATATTTTTAGTTCAGCTCTGGTTAGATCCTGTTCAGATACATCGCAGAACCGTCTGGGGGTGGGGAGAGTACTTGTGTTGTAATGCAGGTTAATTTTGCCATTGTGATCGCGGCAACTTGCAAGTTGAAAGGGAATTGAAAGCACCCAAAGTGTGTTTTCTAAGCCTGACTGTTTATCACAATAGGTATATAGTGAGTAAGGACAAACCCAGTACGTTTAAAGGAAATTAGTCTGGTGACGTCAACATTGAGTGAGAAAAGTAGATCATTTGTGATGGATTCAGAATCCGTCCACATATTGTAGGGTTTTCGCTGCAACGTGAAATGCCTTCAATCTGACCCGCCTCTTCACCTCCGACTTCATGTAGTTCACCTCCGAGTTGTGTGCCGGGCAGGTCTAATGCTAATGAGCACCAAGTATAGGAAATACTTGGTCGTTTTCATGCATGCCACGTGCAGTAATTTAATCAATGGCTTAATTCGCCATGGGCTGAAGTAAGGTCACTCAGTTTCCTCTCAGAAACTCAAGTGAGAGTAAATTAATGCCAGCCTAGACACCCTCAATCAGCCAGGCCTATAATTGTCTGTGACAACTAATGTAACTTCTTTATGAAAACGTATGGGAAGTACCTGCAACCCTAGAGTTAATCCAAAGAGAGTCCGTTGTAATAGAACTGTGGTGAGAGAAATTCCATACAACATCAGAAAACAAGCAAGACCGATTTGGTGGCTTCCTTCCTCTCCAGTGCCTTACGTGGATTTCACATTTCATTTTAGGTCTGTTTAATCCAGACATAAGCCCTGAATCCTAAGCCCACAGCCCTCACCCGTCAGTAGCTAACTGAGAAGGAGTAGAGAAACATATTGGGCAATTCCTGTGGCCGGTCGGAGACATCATTTCATAGTAGCAGCGGTGGCGAGTGCAGCAACCCTTACCTTGTACGGAGCATCAGTTCACTAAGGGCCCATCAGTCAGGACCCATCTGAGAGAATGAACATAAAGACACCACTTCTACACTTAGGAAGCTCACCGGAAGAGAGAAATACGAATTAGGAAGAAGAGTCACATAGGCGCGTGTGCATTTCACTGTGATAGGAGTGGGGAGAAGTAATTCCCTAGCAGCATTTGAGTTTTTTGAAAGTTCATACATGATTTGCACTTAGTCACGTTCTACTTTCTGGCATTTGCTGGACGCAGAGAAGCCTTGTAAGATGGGCAAGAGAGAGCTGGCAACTTGGTGGAACTGAGGGCAAACTATTTCATGTAAATTTTTCATTTGAATGCTCCTTATTTCTTCTTTGCAGGAGTTTAGGTTTAATCGTTTTGTAGAAGACGGCAAGAAAAAAACCACCTTTTTCAAAAAAGGAAAAAAGCTGAAGTGTTACCTGATGCCGTTCGGATCCGGAACCAGCAAATGTCCAGGCCGGTTTTTGGCAGTTATTGAAATAAAGCAATTGTTGGTTGTACTTTTAACGTATTTTGATTTAGAAATAATTGATGATAAGCCGATAGAAGCCAGCTCCAGCCGTTTTCTGTTCGGTATTCAGCATCCAGCTTCTGATGTTTCATTTAGGTACAAAGTAAAATCGTAAAGAAGCTGAAAAGAAAGGCAGTCTATCAGAACTAACCTAAATGTCCCCTGCTCATCGATTTGTTTTGAATTTCTGCACATGTAATTGCTTTGTTTGTTTGTTTGTTTAAGAAGTGCCAATTTATATCTGATCTGTGATCAGTCCAACTCGCACTTAGGCACAAAACCCATCATAAAATAAAATAGAATGTCGACATGAAAATGGACATCAAAATAAGCATACTGATAAACTCAAAATAGCTTTTTTATGTTTTTCTACATCCTGTGATTTTCGCCTGTCATGGTAAATGTACCACAATAAATTTGGCACCGTGGGATTTTTTAAGTCACTCAAATTCTTCTCTAATATGTAAAACACTTTATGTACTACTGGAAATTTGTGCTAGAAACGGACACAGTCTAACAAATGCAAAATTCTCAGAGAAGAAGGAAATTAAATTTTCATGAGATAAACTGGATGAAAATGTTCCCTTCAAGTGTAATATCAATAATATCTATATCGCCTGGGTACGTTTGCATTAAATGAGTTTTGCAGTAGATTAAATGCTTCAACTTCACTTCAATATTTAATCATCCATAAATGTTATTACTTTGTATACTATGGCTCAATGCAACAAAATTTCTGGTTATGTAAGACCACTCATGTTAAGTTAGATACTGATAAGATGTAATGTATAAGAACACACAGAACCTATTACGCGTTCAGCGATTGCCCGGAGACGTTAGTATTGGGTTTGTTGTTAGGAGTAAATGTTGAAATCATTGCAGGACTGATGGTAGCATTTGGCTTTAGTGTAAACTGTAAGGGTGATACCAGCATGGCAATTAACTCTTAACTCTTTCCTAAATGCTTCCATGTATATAAAGTGAGAAACTGGATAGCAGGGTTTGTTCTTGATGCATCACCTTTTGGACTTGGCGATTATTTTATTGCTTACATAATACCGTATAATTTTTTGTGCCACAATGCAGCATTGTGTCCGTGAGTCAAAGCTTTCTAATTTCAGGGTACCAACTGATTATTTGGCATCTGACGTAAATGATGATGCTGTGTAGAAACAGGAAAAGCAGGTAATAAAATTGAGTCATTTGTATTGCATCAATTGGAGCTTTTGAAACAGGCAATTGATTTTTAAAATAACATTGTAAAGTTCAATACTTAATAATAAATACATGTTCTAGCATTCATCTTCTCCTTCTTGAAGTACATGCTCTAAACATTTCTTAGTGAGGCTCTGCTGGTCCATACTGTTTTTACTTGGTTGGAAATGTCTCTGTTTGTGCCGTTGTTCTTGAAAGATGACTTTGCTCTGCATACATGTCTGTGTCCTCACAGCGCTCTGAAGATACTGCATGTTCTAAGGCTTCTGTTGTTGCTGTCAAGAGGTTAGCCTTCAGCCAGTTTAATTATTCAGACGGTAGTCTGCCTCTTCTCTCTGACGGCGTTAACATGTTCTTTTTGTCTTTGATGTTCTTGGTCTCTTTCTGTATCATGCCTGCGTCACAGTGCCTCTTGAGTCTGAGAATACATGTCTTTTATCAGGCGGGAAAGCCTTAGCCTTAATATCAGAATAATACCTCTCCCAGACTCTGTATTATAGCCTCCCGCTCTAGACTCCATGCTGTTTGACCTTTTCTCCCCATGGTTTCTAGCTCTAATTTACATTCTAGGTAATGTGTGTAGATCTCACTCTCTGAGTGTACCTGATCTGCTCTTTAACTCATCCATGGAATTTGTTTCTTCTTATTCAACCTCATAGGATCGAGGAACCCTCCTCTTTGTCCTTCTTAGTCGTGGTACACACTTACGGTTGGTCCAAGCAGGACCCCTCTGCTTTACCTACTCACTCTATCTCACCCCTCATCTTCACTGTGACACCCCTCCCCGTCATAGACATTCTAGTGTGTTTGATGTGTATCTTTTTATTAGTATGTATTTTTAGAAAACATATTACCTGTGTGCATGTTAATTTACATAAGTGTATTTTCTATACATGAGATCCGTCTTTTCTTATTAATCCCTATGTTTTTAAAGATCTATCCGTATTACTGTACACACACACACACACACACACACACACACATATGTACACATATATTTAATCTGTTGGTTCTAACTGCCGTGTAGTATCCATAACATGCACCCACAATGTTTTAATGATCTTTTCACCCCATGATGGAAATTGTATCCATGGGAAACTTAATTTGGGAGAGAGGCCAAAGGAGAAACTACCCCCACCTATCTTCCCCCTGCTGTGCCCATCCATCCTTCACCCTGGACTGCCACAAACTCTGTCCCCAGCCCCTGTACCACACTGCGTGCGCACGCGCGCGCACACACACACACACACACACACACACAGCTTGTGACTGTCTTCACTCGCCCCAAGATGTTCTAGATTTGTTATGTTGCATCCTTAGATCCTTACAAGCCTCTCCTTTCTGTAGGTTGATTTTGAGTCAGGTGCCAGCTGCCGACTTGTCAGCTTTCAGTTTTTCTGAACCCATTGAGTTTGCCAAGTTCAATGATTAATTTTGTTCTTCCTATCTGCCTGGTCCTTTTTAATGTCTTTCTCAATACACTCAATATCCTCTGTCATTTCTTTAAGTATATGAAGAAATCTATTTTATATTATGTATCTGATATTTCTAAACGGTTAGTATTTTGTGGGTCTGATTCTGTGTTTGTTAGCTTTACTCAGTACGACTTGATTATTGAACCCAGATTCCTTGGAATTTTATCTCTGGAAAATTTTTAAGACCCGAGTTTAAGGTTCATTCCTTTGGAGAGAAGTTGAGTTTCTTTTGTGTGACTGCTGATGTTATTATCACGCTCGGATCACTTTAAGTTTACAGCTTGAGTACTTTGAGAGGAGATGAGGGATCGGAGATACATAGGTAATGTGGGTTATAACCCTAAGTCAGCTCCAAAGCGGTCCTATGAGAAGGAATAGACGGGAGATATGTGGGGGATATATTTTTCTTTTCCCAGAGGCATCACCGAGAGAGGCAGATCTACTCACGGTCTTGCCTGGAGCAAGGTCTCTTTCTAGTTCACCTACTAAGGATGTTTCCTTTGCAAGTTTTTGGCTTGGGGCAGCAGTCTTGGATTTCACACGCACTCCCAACTTGGGCCCTGGGTTTTATCTTCCGCCTGCCACAAAGGATAGCCCATTCTCTTTGTACCAGGAGGACACCGAGCCCACCATATTCCCTGACGTAGAAGCTACCGTGTTCTTACATTTGTCTCCACAATATGCTTTTGAGATATTACAGCAGGGAGAGCACGGGAAATTATTCAATTCTAATTTCTGTTTAACTTCGGAGTGTGTCCAGGAACTTAGAATAGAAAGTAAGAATAAACAAAATGGTTGAGAAAGTACTATATAAAAGGAATGGGCAGTCGAAGCAAAACAGAATCATAGCACAGGCTTACATCTAGGAATTGGAGTGCTTATGAAGAGAAAAAAAATGTCATGGAGAAATACGCTAAAAGGCACGGATTCTAGCTGTGATATGACTAGTTTGTTATCATCGACCAGTCATTTTGCCTCCCATTGATTCAGTTCCTTAACTGCAAGATAAAAATAATAAGGCCTTTTTGACACAAGGGTTCATGATGAAGATTAAACATAGTGAGATGTGTGAATTTATTTTGAAAAGCGTAATGCAATATGCGAACACAAAGTTGTAACGGAGAACTTTAACAAGGTTGTGCCTTTTAAAAACTGTTCTTATGTGTTTGTTAAAGGAAATATTTTTTTAAGTCATCATATAGTTCCTTATGCATTAATTCCATCAGACATTTTTGTTCTAGACATATCTGTTCTAGATATGAGGCTGTGCACTGGATCACCCTTCTTTGAGAACACACAATTTATTAGGGAAAACCACACATACACAACCAATATATTATAAGTGTCGTTGTAAGTAATCAATTCATCCCTTTAAAACAGTTCTAAAATTCTGATTTACCACTAGTTCTAACTACCCTTCCATCAGGCATTCCAGAGTACTGTTCTGTAATGAGAAATTACCATGTGCATAATTATGCACAATAAAACATGTACATCAGGTATTATGATTATATGATAAAAACAGCCAAACCAAATACAGTCACTGAGGCTCCAGAATCTTCTTAAAAACTATAGTTTACATATCTTAAAAACCCTTTTTTTTTTCATTTTTACAGCCACCCCAAGTTGCAAATGAAAGGAAATGAATAATGTGGCTTTATATCAATGACTAACACTGATGAAGCATTCAGTTAGCAAAAACTTAATGCTCTGAAGATAATAAGAGAAAAAGCTATTTACTCCTAAAATAAGGCGCGCTGCTAAGCGACCTATGTGGAACATTATCTGCCTTGTGCCAGCTTTCCTGGCACACTTGATTATATCTCCATTTTATCATTAAGTTTGGGGTCACGACTCTAAGGTAAAGGAGTTTCTAAGTCAAAATCTGCATGGTTACTTCTGTTTATTTTCTCATAAAAAATAATTTGGGTCACACTTCTTGTAAATGTTTTCCAGTTTAACAGTGGAATCTTAAAACCAATTTCAAAGATCAAAGCACAAAAATTATGTAAGTTTTAATCTTAGTATAAAATAATGTCATTAATGACAAAATAAGACCTCTATGCCCTCAGAATATGCACTGTTCTTAACCTATTAAATTCACCCATATTGCAAACTATTATTTACTTGAACTGCATTATTAGGTATTCATATTCACATACTCAATTAAGAAAAAGTTAGCAAGCCAAGATTACATTCCCTGTAGCATTATTTTAAATTATAATGAGCAATCACATAAAACTCTCTACTATTTCTCTAAAGCAATTATTACTTACTCTGCTTCGTAGTGTTAATCTAAATCAGTGATCATTGATGTTTGGACTTTTTAGCTTAAATCTTTATTTTGTTTATAATACTTTCTTGAGTAAGATGAATTTGATTTGTGAAAAAAAAAACCTACAGCACAATTTTAAAGAGGAGATAATTTGATAATACTAATGTTTAAAAATACGTTTGAGTCAAAAGGAAGTGCTGTATATTATAAAAAAACTGTTGTTCTGAATTGTCCATTTCATGTTCTCTTTTGATTTTAAAAAGGCACATACGTGGATTTATGAGGAAGCAAATCTTAAAAAGACATTAGATCAGAAATGCAAATGCCTTGTTAATCTACTTAATTATCTTTTATTTACAACAATAATTCAATAAATTAACTTTAAAAACACAGGTGAATTACTGTGTCTCATTATTTCCCTACGAGGAGCAGGTTGAGTGACAGAATATTTGGTTAAAAATAGCGAGTTGTTTGGAAAATAATTTTGCTGTCTGAATATCCTCACATTTTTGTCTCCCCCCCAACACACACACACACACACACACACACACACACACATTCTTATTTTCTGATACTGTTCCTAAAAACGTATTCATTGTTCTATTCAGAGTATTTTTCATATATTTTAACTTAGCTATTTATGTGGGAAATAATAAAAACAGACCCAAGAAATATCAGGGACTAATAAGATTTTTAATAAGTTTATTTTAGCCAGGCTGACCTTGCTAGGCTCTAGTTCTTAATAATCGTAGTCATTCTGTGGAGAGACGTAAAAGAACAACAAAAAAACAGAAACGAGATGCCATTAGACGTGGTCTTTGTCTTCTGCAGATCACTTAACACAGATCATGAATGAAGCTGAATAATACTTGGGCAGTATTCTCTTTATTCATAAAGCTGAAATCCAAACTGTGGATGAAGCAAGTAATACAGAATGCTGTTGGTGAAGATGAAATGTGGCTCCTGCATTAACTGTACATAAGCTTCTTACTGGACACTTGGCTTCTCTCAGAAACACTCCTGTGAGCCATTGACCTTTTACAGGAACTTGCCTTCACTCGAACGGTGTTCCTGTGTATTTGAACTAGTCAGTTCAGTATTGCTTTAACAATTAAGATAAATTATGCCACTAAATGGGCAGTCCCTGAAATAATTATCTCTGATTTCAGTTTTACTCTAAAAAACATTTATTGAGTAAATAAAACTTTTATTTTTTAACAGTCTGGAATTAGACAAGGCCATGTGAATAATAATATGCATTTTC